CAAAAAAAAAAAAAAAAAAAAAGTGATTTAGTCATAAGCAAAGTAAAATACTTTTTGCATTGTTTTAAAAGTTTATAGCGGTTCAAAAATATAATGATTTTTTTCATTAACGTGAAGTATTTTTTTTGAACGTCCAATTTGCTGTTTAAACCGTTCAACACTTCAGTCGCGAAGAACCATTGTGCTGTTCCTGATTTAACAAAATATATTTTCTGACATGAATAAACTTGTAAGAATGCTCGACTCTCTCTAGCTAGACTTACAGAGCTAGACAGCCCATTTCTAGAGGGTTCCAATGGATGAAAGCTGAATTCAGGATGAAAGTCCTGAATAGATGAAGAACCCTCTGAAAGTATGGCAGACTTTTTCACAGAGTCTAAACTTGTAATTAAAAAAGTTGCTGGACTTCCCTGAATCAGACTTATTTAGTCGAGTTGATTCATAGAGCTTTCTAGTCACTACCCGGTCGTTCTGGAACGAATGTCATAGACACCTGATAACAGTGAGGGAAAAAGAGGACATGCAGGCGGTATCAAAGATTCTGTTCAAGAAATTGGAACTGTTCCAGAAGTCAGAAACCTCGTGTTGGCGCGATCTTTAACGGTAGGCCGGAAAAGAGATGTCGTCCATATACGGTGTATTTCATATTCGATGCTGTATTATTTTTGTTCGGAATGCTTCTGTTGTTGGCTGTTGTAATTATTGGACAAGCTGTTGCATTTTCTGAAGTTATCTTTGGTAAGTTTTCTCATGATTTTTTTTTTTTTTTTGGTAATTTTGTCCGAAAACCTTGTTCTTACAGTTCATTTTATTTGCAACGAAAATTTCCTATTTTTTATTTAATTGAATTTCTTCAGTTTTTTTTTAATTGGAATTGTTTATATAATTTCGTTTATTGCAAAAATCAAAGAATTGCTGTGAAGTTGTATTTTGCAGAACCTTTACCAGCTTTGAATGGGAGTACAAGAGTAGTGAAAGCTGGTTTAGAAAGACGTTATGTGCCACTGGGAAGACACTTTGTTTTCGAGTGCGAAGTATTAGATATTGTTTATACAAATGGTTATCAAGTTTTGGATTATGCATGGGTAGCAATATACGGCACATTAAAGCGTCGGACTGTGCTCCCAAGAGATCCAGATGATTATACAAATTTAAATAGCAGGTAAGGTTTCTAAAGTTTTGTTTTTTCAAACAAACAGTTTAGTGGCACAACAGTTTTGTTCCGCTTTTTATCAAAATATTTTATTGTTCCACAGCCCATTTTAGCCGTTTGCATTGTTTAAATAAGATTAAAAATTTTTTGCTTGCTTACATC